TAAATGGTGAGCCTATTACAGTCCGCAGATATTCTTTGTTCATTCTTTGTCCAATTATTTCAATCATTCAGTTGACAGTGCATTTGTGGTAAACAATACTGGAATTAATTTTAGTTATATGAAATGTTTTTCCTATTGATATATATTGCCGCATTGGAATGAGCAGCCAAACATCATCTAAAATGCATAGAATCATAGAAAAGTGTAAAATTTCTGTCCTGATTAAAGTTTGCCCCCCCCCCCCCACTTTCCCACCTACTTACAACGGGAGGTCCACAAGATTTAATTCCTGCAAGATTTTCTAGGATTGGGATTTTGGTAAGATGTAACATGGGAATTGCAGTGGGCTTGGAACTTATTCAAAATTGTATTGGAATACTATTACTGTTGCTGCATTATAAGATTTCATGGGAGCCACAATGAGCTGCAACTAATTAAGATAAACTATGGTTTCATTTTTTATGTTTATTGAGGGAATTGAATATAACATGCTTTTTACAATAAAATATATAGATTTTGACAATAGTGTTCCACTTTTAGACCTAAAAAGGTACATGAATATTTTTTTCCCTTTCTTTCTGTTTTCCTTTCAATTTTAGCCATTTATTATGTACTCCCATGCAATCTACCAGAGCCATCCAACATGCATTTATGGGAATTCTTTAATGAGTACATGTGTTAGACACTTTGAAAGAGGCTGTACCTAGTGTGACTGATAACAAGGGATATATGCCAAGCAGAATACCAATATTTTATATTTCAGTCCTGGGTGATCATCTGTTATTTTACATATTGATCATTTTTTTGTACAGTAGTAAACTTCACTGAACCTTGAGACCTTGGGGAGACTGATAAATAGGGTTGATGCCAAGAAGACTGTCACAGTTTGTGTCATAGTATTTGTACATCTCATCTAAAGTTTTGTTCCCATCAACAACCTGTAAGAAAACAATATAATGTCTCAGGTACATGTAAGCCACTTACAGCATACTTCCTTTGATCTCCCATGTTGGTATGTCTCTGGATACTGAACCAGTTAGGACAAGGCACCATGTTGGGTTCTCAGCGAGTCTTTTTTAATAGTATTTCAAATGTATATGTGTATATATGTTACAAAAATATATAATGTTTACAATGATCTACACTAGTTACTCTCTTAACAAACCAATAATTGACAACACTACGAGATATACAAAAGATAAGAAAATTATACAACATAAAGGAATACTACCCTGGTTATAGGAAAGCTAATGGAGTGGGTGGGTGGGTAAATAATTTCTGGTGCTATATAATACGGTGTAGCTACTGCTATAAAAGTTGAAACGAGTGCCTAGCTGATGCAACTTGTGTTCTAATGTACTAATGTACAAACTAGGATAAAAGCTGACCAGAAATGCCTACATAATTACTCATGCTTATGTAAGACCTCCCATGAACCTGACATGTCCTCCTCTACATAGTCTAACAAAGTCAATATCTGCATTTTAAGGATTGTGACTGGTAGTTATCTGACATGTCCTCCTCTACATAGTCTAACAAAGTCAATATCCGCATTTTAAAGCTTTTGACTGGTAGTTATCATAGCTCAACCAGTAACAACAGCCCTGCATCAAACTAGAGGCAAGGGATTTCTTTTAACAGATTATAAATTAGTATCTTTAAGGCTTTTGCATTGACATTATATTGAATGTAAGGATTTCAGATGAAACACATAGATTTGATAGAGCATGACATTTCGGAAATTAAATTTTGCCTTCATCAGTAATGATCATGATAATAATAATAATGGGAGGTTCTTATATAGCGAGCGCATTTTACTTGAATGACCAGTGGAGGATTTTACGGGCTGCATACTAAGGCGCTATTAGCAGCTGTGCAGCTTACAATCATGAGTGATTTRTTAGTACATTAGTGTTATGCCTCCAGACAGGGATAGGCTGTCGAACCAGGAGACAATCCTCTGCTCTTACACAAATAATTCAACAGGCTCTTTTATACCCCCCATTTTACTGCAGGTTAGAAAGGGTGGGAGACAGGGCCTATGGTTTAAAGTCCTCATCCAAGAGGACTTGAAGGTCTAACCATTTGCAGATATTATTACTAAGACAGCACCTTTTCTTTAGTTATTTTAAGACCCTGAGTGTTGGTCTGGCCAAGGCTTGAACCATGACCTCTTGCACAACAGACCCACGCTCTTACCAACTGAGCTAACCGGGTAATGATGAATGAGAAGTGTGTGAAGTGCTTACAAAGCATGCGCAGAGGCAATGAAGCGATGTATGAGTGGACCTGTCATCATTCTGATGAAGGCTATCACAAGTTATAGAGGGAATGACATGCTTTATCAAATTCGGCTTATAAAATGTTTGAAATGTAACAATGTATATGATGACTGGCTGGCAGGTGGCCATGTCTATATCAGAGAACAGAAAGATGCTTAAATAAAATAATCAAAATTTATATCTTGCATTCTTAAGCTTGTTCTCTCACACTCTACAGCCCCTATCTTGTTTATACAGTAGTAGTATAGTAGTAGTTAATATACCATAGTAGTGAGCAGAGCTTTCAATAAAAGGCGGCTACTGGCAGTGTATCGCTGGATACTTCACCTTAAACTAAAGGCTATTTTGGAAAAAAAATTATTGCCAAATACACCAATGGATTTAGCTCCCTACTTTTTAGGAAGAACTGCCTACTACAAAATGTCATTGACTCACCAATACTGGGGCTGGTAAGGGATGTTCCTCTCTGATCAGCCAAGACTCATGTCTTTCATGCAAAGCATTCAAAAGGTCCTGAAAACAACAGATTCATCAAGTTATGAGGATACTAGTTTTTATAGTATTGGCTTGAAATGGAAAATAATGCCTTTGATTGTTGAAAGAATAGAAACCATCCCATGGCAGTGTGCTTTTTCAATACCCACCTCTGAGATATGCTTCGCTTATCAAATTAAATTTATTCCTACCACCTGTCATTTTAGCATGTAGCCCTATACTGAAACCTTTGTGCATGACAAGCGAAGCATATCATGGAAGTGGGCTATTATAGATGTGGATAATTAATTAATCATGTTTTTTTCATTATCATTTTTTTCATATATTAGATTGAAATTGCTTAGGTTTCTTTAAGTGTAGGATTCTATGCTGTATTGAGTTAAGGAGACAGCGGCAGATCAGAGGAATTTTAATGAAGTGGTGCACCATTTATGATCATTGTGCAGTTCCAGAAAATATTCATCCCCACCTATGAGGAAATTTGTAAAAGGACCCCCCTACCTCCCAGAACTTCAATTGTTTTTTATACAAACTATGTAATTTTCTTTCAGTGACCCCCCTACCCTCCAGAATTTTCAATTTCCTTTGGGGATGGGTATGGATATTTTTTTGAACTCACATTACATTCAGAAATTCTCCTTGGGAGAATGCTGCTCAGCCATTAAGAGAGTTCATTATTTCTTGGTTTTGTCAAGTGCTGAAGTATTTATCTTTAATTACAAAAGGCAGTTGTTTAATATGATTTACCATAGAAACAGAAGTCTCCTCATCACGATGACGCATCTTGACTCTTTCCATGCATTTTTCAGGACTTGTTCTCAAATAAACTGCAATAGAAGTAGAAAAAAGAGATCTCAAAAACCAAATTAATCCTTTAACAGGATGTTTAAGAATTAATGACACTCTCCTCAAGGTTAATGAAGAATAGCTCAAGTTGGCATTGCATGAAATCCCAGTTATAGTCACTTTTTGATGGGCTCATAAAAAGAAGGAAATGAGTTTTGAATGAAAAGGAAATAGTTCTTTCTTTCTTTTCTCCTTGATTTAATTTTTTTACATTAAAAGACATCAACAAAGTCAGTGGCCGGCAACAGTGATTGTGATTGTTAGTGTAAGGCTTGGAGAACATAATAGCATTAATATATCACATGATCATTTCCTGCCATTCTTCAGACACCATGTATCACAAAACTTACTCATCAATACCTTAGTGGGACTAAAGCCCTGTAGCCCTTAGTCAACCCACCCAGAATAAAGTTTTTACGAGTACACAAAGTTATTGTTGCATAAACTTTGTTGTTTAATGGCACATATTATTATAATTGCATTTCATTACCTCCAAGCAATTGCTGCATTTGGGCCAGCTTCTATACATGTATTATACATTATATATTGACCCAAATGCCTCAACTTTAAACAGTTTTTTAAAGGCAATATAGAAATAACTGTCCCTTTCGTTAAAAGCCCGATCAAAGACCCTTACAAGATCATATAGGCCCAGGCCTTATGACCAGCATTCGATGGTATTAATCTTATCACATTGTATTTTGGTTGGAACAGCATGGCATAGTAAGTATAAGATAAAGCTTCTTAAAGAATTACTAAGTACTTACTAATCAAGTCCAGATCTGGTTTTTCTTGTTTTGTAATCCAGTCAAACCAGTGATTGTGAGCACTATGCTCCAAGCCTGTCATCAAACCACTGTAAAATAAGAAAGAGATTATTAAATGAGCACAAGGTCTACTGTAAATGAGGGATGAAAATCTCTTTTAGCTTTTATGGAATAGGGAGTTATTGAATAAGATTCTTATTAATATATTTAACTACTGTATAAAGTTCAGTGGACCAGGTTCAGTCATAACATGGTTTTTATGCACAGGGCTTAAAATAATAGCCATTCATTTGCCAGTCTACCCTGCGAGCAGAGTCTCCTTTTAACTCATCTACAGGCCAGAGAAGGAGGTAGAGGAGTTAAGGGGCAGACTCTGCTCACAGGGTATTGCCAGTCATGATAACACAATCCAACATGATTTATACCATGTGATGGCTAGTACCAAAGTGGTGAATTGAAATGTTCCAAGAACATATCTTATACACCCAGTCTTAATCCAAGATTTAAATTGCTGTACCTGACACACAGATTGTTCTCAAAGCAGTAGTAACCACTATAGACACTTCTTTCTATCATCTTGATAGGCTTAGTCTGAGAACATTAAAAGACGTATATCATGATTGCACATGGCATGCATCTATCTGAGAAAATTATGTCTTTATTCAGGTTGATCACTATGACCGAGTTACCCTGTAACAGTGGTCAGACTAACATTTATGGGGAGGGTGGAGTCTTGGTTAGCTGAAGGTGCTGCCTTTACACATAAACCCTTCTCCTGTGGCTAGACCAAAATTTGGGTTTTCTTTTTTAATATCTGAGCATATGACACTTCCTATGCTCTACAAAATATCTGCAAATGGTTAGACTTTCATCACTGACCAAGGCCCATTTGCACAAAGGGTGGATAGCACTATCCAACAGATAAATCCTTATCCAGTGGATAAGTCAATGCTGTTATCCAATAAATTTATCTACTGAATAAGATTTATTTGTCGGATAGCGCTATCCACCCTTCGTACAACTGGGCCCAGTTGACCACATAAAATGGAGATTTAAAAAACAGGGGGCAAAAATGTTTGTCTATAAATAAATGTCACTTCACTCTTACATGAGGTTTCTTGTGCACTTGCATCAGGGTGAGAAGAAAATAGGACTCAAACAGGTAGCTCCATCTCTTACAGTCTTCATAAAACAAGTTCTGTTTAAGAATTTAATAAATAATTCAATGATTGTTTGTACTGTTTAATAAACGAGCAGGAGTGTTTTATCAGGTATAAAACATGAGGCGTAGCYGAGTGGTTTTATACCCGATAAAACATGATCTGCGAGTTTATTGAACGCCTTAAAAAACTCATGATGTATGTTCTCATATTGTACCGAATTCTTTACGAAATGAACCAAGTTTGATAGAGAAAATCCAAGTTAAAGTTTATGCAAATGAAGACGAATCTTTATCAGATATAAAACCTCCTTCACGGTCATGATTTCTATTGTGTTTCCTTCATGAATTATTAATGAGTTTTTAAAATAATATATACAGTATTAGTGGCCGTGTTGTATCCGATATACAAATACGAGGCGTAGCCGAGTGATTGTATATCGGATACAACACGGCCACTCATACTGTAGATTGCTTATCAAACGTCTAGGTTAGTTCCTTTGTGTTTAACTAAAATTTTCAAAATTGAAGTGAATCTGGCCAAGAAAATCCAAGTTCAAGTTTATGCAAATGAAGAAGAATCTATATCAGATATAAAACCTCCTTCATGGTCGTGATTTCTATTGTGTTTTCCTCATGAATTATTTATGAGTTTGATAAATAATTATAATGATTAATATACTAATCAGAAGTTCTTATATAACACATTTCACAATCATTTCAGTCTCAAAGTGCTTCATATCTTATGAAAACTGAAGCAATTTATGGGCTACGTACATGTAGCAACAATAATAATTAATTGATATTAATTGCATAAATACAAAATGTGTCCACTAAGACAATCCACACTTGTAAGAGGATTTGCTTTCAAACAAATAAAGTTCTATGCTGTGTCAGTGGTTCCCTGCTAGCAAAGTCTCCCTCTTTTATGATTCTTGGGAGAGAAAATTTTCTGTGCCAAGAATTGCCAACATGTAAAACTCTGCTAGCAGGGAATCTCAGTGGTAATATTTATTATTTTCTTATCACCAAAATATGTACAACATAATATTTTTATAATAACCATTATTTTCCATGAGTGGCTGTAACACTAAACTTTCACCTTGAAAAAACCTTAGCACCCAGAGAAAAACCCTTCATAGGAATGGAGAGAAGAATATAATGAATGACCTTTTTACAATGATCTGAGTAAAATGAATTATTCCCTGTAATTTGCACTCATCAGTAATTTACTTTGTCTTACCAAAAGATTTTGACCTCCAATGTTTTGCCATTTTTTTACAGGTTCTTCTATAACCTTGACATAATAAAATCAGAAGTGTAAGTCATGGTGAGAATCCCAAAGTTACCTGTTAATTTTGATATATTGTATGTATTATTATACACAAGACTGAAATAATGACTGGTCAGTAGCTGGTCATGATGAACAGCCAAATTAGTTAGTCTTTAATGGTCAAAATGTTGCTTTTAGTTTTGTTATGCATGAGCTTTTGCTATCAAGATTTCATGCCTTATCTGGTAAAATCAGGTAGTTTTACATGGCATGTACCACGTGATGATAATCATTCAATAAATAAATCAATGTAGTAAAATCATTATATTTGATTATCTATTTACAAACTGCTCTGCTACGAGTATACGATATAAACATACTCATGCACATACATTATGTATTTATACAAATATTGATGAAGTCATTTTAAATATTGTAAGAATTTCAATATTTGCAACACTCAATATGTAGACAAGGATATTGTTTACAGTTGTTATTACCTTTTTTCCCCATATAGGTATTTGTCCAATTATTTTCTTAATTGGTCAGGTCAGTTGATATGGGATTAATTAGGCAGCTATATAATTAATAGGTAATGGGATTTCATGCTCCCCAATCAAGAAATAATTAGATTTGAAAAATTCCTCTGACTGCCAAATTGGACTCGGCCTATGGCCTCATCCAATTTTGTCAGTCCTCAGAATTTTCCTAGTCCGATTATTTCTTAATTGGACAGCATGTAGTCCTACAGTACTATTTTTTTAGAAGTACATGTAAAATCATCAGTTAAATCTTACCTCAACAAGAGAGTTTTGCCTGAAGTATTTCAGTAATGTTGTCTTGCCACTTCCAATGTTGCCCTCTACTGCAACCTTTGAACAGAAAAAAGCCTACACTTTACACAAAGATACACGAACCCTCAAACCCCAATCCAACATGGTACTACAATTATGATTTCTATATTGCTTACTTATCATTGTAGAGCCACCTGCATGTCTCCAATGATTGGTGCAAAACTGTGCTCTATCGGAGAACATTGCACAGTGGTGACATGGAATAATTATTGCTAATTACAATGTAATTGACGTCTTGAAAACAGCTTAGAAATGCCACCTTACAATACAACCACCATCACACCACAATATTGTGTGCCTCTTTTACACCCCCTCTTGATCCAGGAGTATAAACATAATCAAAAAATTTTATTACTATGATTTTACACTTTCAATCTGTGTTATAAAGGGCATATTAACAGAATATTTTTAACAAGGAAAGAAGATGAAACTCTAAGAAAGATCGTAATAAACAGAACGAGGTAAAACATCCATTTTTTTCCATTTCAAACGGCAATTATATAAGCTCACAAAAAAAACTGTTGTATGAGCTCACCGAATAAAGACTTTTGTATAGGTCAATATTTTTTATATTCTTGGATAAAATTTATCCAAGAATATAAAAAATATTGACCTATACAAAAGTCTTTATTCATATTTAATATGAATACAAAATTTAATGAAGTTATCTTTACACAAAGGTTAAACACTTACCGTGATTTTGTTGTCTTTGTTTGGGTGCAGATCACAACGATCGTCGCCCCTCATCACATCTGCTATTCCTATCATATCTGCCTTGAAATGCTCTAAACCTTAAAATATAACCCATTAAAATAAGAAAAATATTTCTTAGGTCTTAAATGCCAGTCAAACATCTGAACAAAATAAAGCACGAACCTTTTAATCGATAAACTAATTTTTGGCGCGCGCCAAACGTCGCCAAACGTCGCCAAAACAAATTTAAACATTTTGAATATTGTCCTAATTATTATAAATCTAATCGAAAGATGATCGATAAGGCCCTGAATTAGCTCTCGTTAATTCGTATATTTGTTTTTCTTCAGTAAAATCTGATAACAAATTAAACAAGAATTGCATTATTTAAGTATTATACGGTTTAGAGGTTTGAGACGCTACGCTTCGCTCCTAAACAAAAACAAAATATAGCGAGCGAAATATAACCTAAAAGCATTCGTTAAAGCAAAAATGTCGATTGAATACGATCAAACACATGATTAAATTGCCCATGAGAGTCCAAAGTAAGAAATAAAGCAAGAATTCTCACCTTTTTAGAGTGTTTTTGATGAACGAAACTCGTGAAAGCGAGCAACAAAGAATTCGAGTTTTGGCGGTAAGGGATCACGTGATCCCGAGAAGGAGGACTGGACAAACTTAGAAATGTATGAATGGAATGAAAAGAAACGGCCAAAGGTGGACTCGGGAACTTCGGAGTTATTCAAGTTGAGGGACGAAAACGCTACAAAACCAGTTTGGACTACTTTAAAATTAAGAATAAAATTCAAATATTGTAATGTTTTAACTAATTCCAATATTTTATTTGTCAATATATTTGAATGAGAGAATAATTATATCATACTTGCCATTAAAAACCCCGTACATTTGTATACAGCTGCACAAACATTTCAGTAATAATTAACAAGTCAAACACAGGATATGAATATGGACCTCATTCGAGATTTACTTGAATGCAATTCTAACATGGAAATACAAAATAAATGCCACAAATAACATCTCAATCAAGAAAAAGTCTTTTTTTTCATGCTTTTAATGTTAGCCTTGCATCCATAATAATTTTCAGAAGCTCCATTGTATTATCGATTGGAATATATCATTAGACTTACAAAAGGGGTACATTCCTCTCCTACAACGTAAATCATAGCCTGCATAGTGCCGCCTTGGGGAGGGGAAGGGAAATGGGACTCCCCGTGATATTAGTTTGATAAATACTAACAATTTCATTGTACGAGCATTTCACAATAACGTGACTGAAAACTGCTATAAATCTTTACTTGCAGTGTATTACGTTACAATGCCAAACACATAACCCTGGATTTTGTTAATTTTTTAAGTTTCAGTAAATATGTAATTGTTGAAGTGTTTTGGCCCACGTGCATTCCTTCACTGGAGTCGAACCAGTTCCAAGATTAAATCCTGGATAGCCACTAAGGATTTTTTGAGGGTTAGTGTGAACAGTAAGTCAGTATTGTGATAGTGCATTCATTGGGCAAGTACTGTACTTCATGGCTGAGAGCTATGTAGTCACTTGTGTCTTTTTGCACGTAGTCTGAAGTATGCTCATATTTTTACTGTATCTTCATGTGCATATATGTATTCTATATGCATTCCCTGGAATCCCAAAGTATTTCATTCCCCTGTGTCCCCATATATTCCCCAGTATTTTCCTATATTCCCAAGTATTCCCCTGTGTATTCCCATGTGTTCCTATTTGTTCCCATGTGATTCTATGTATTCAGCTATATTCCTCTGTATTCCCCTATACTGCCCTTGGTGTTCGTTTCAGATTCCCCMAAAAAAACATTGAAAAGAATTTGAATTTCCAAGGACCTTTCAAGCTTATTCTTATGTATTTCTTTTGTGAATTCCCAAGTATCCCGATGTATTTTAATGTTTTCCTATTTATTCCCATGTGTCTCCTGTATTTCTCTTTGTATTCCGTTGTATTTCCTTATATTCCCCAGTATTTTCCTATATTCCCAAGTATTCCCCTGTATTCCCCTGTATTTCTATTTGTTCCCATGTGATCCTATGTGTTCAGCTATATTCCTCTGTATTCCCCTGTACTGCCCTTGGTGTTCGTTTCGGATTCTCCCCCCCAAAAAAATTCATTAAGGCCTAGGACAAGAATTTGAATTTTCAAGGAACCAGGCGGGGATTTGAACCCCTATATGTCAAATTTTGTATGGACTATTCACAGGTTTTCAAAAAAATATATTTAGGGACTTGTCAGAAATTACCAGGGGGGAGGGGCGGTGGAAATATGGGGTGGGTCATAACTTTTTAAGTTCCTAAAACAGGAAGGGTCAAGAAAAAAAGGGCTGCTTAAAGTCGAGGGTCATTCAAATTTTTGATTGAGCTCATAGAGTTGTTCGTTCACAGTATAAACAGATAAGAAAAAATAGGGCTATATTTGGTTCAAATAACCACAACAACCACAAAGCATATCGGATGTATAAACTGTGAAGTACGATTTATCAAATGTTTATTGTCAATAGAGTTTTTTAGCTTTCCTCATGATCACTATTTTCAGCATCAGCATTACCATCAGAACTGCTATGGAAATCATCATCATCATCATTTATGTCATCAGGATTAATATAATCACTTTCATCATCATTTTCATTAAAGTGCATATGACACGAAAAAAATTTAATCTTAAAAATGTGTAGTTTATTGTCATTAATAAGAATATCATGGTTAAATTTGTTTCAAAAACGTATTTCTCTAGAATTTCAAGAAAATTTAGCACAAGTTGTGACGTCATTTTGTTTACAAGTCTCCAGATTTAGTTCCAAAATACACGACATATGTTTGAATGTAGAATCTTAATTTCCGGTAGTACACTTTTCAGTTTCCCAATAATTGAAGAATACTACGTTAGCTATCAAATGTAGCTGAATAGAATATGCAATTTGTTGTTATTTTATAAGAATTACAATTTATGCATTACTATTGAATCTAGAGTACGTGTCAACAAGATGACGTCACAAATTGGGCTTAATTTTCTCAAATATCTCAAGAAATATGCTTTTGAAACAAATTTCATTACGATATACTTATTATTACTAACAAACTAAACATTTTGAACGATGAAATATTTCGTGTCATATACACTTTAAGATTGAAGCATAAATATTGTTTGATGATATCTTGGGATTCTTTTGTAAATAATCCTTTGTCAAAACCAAATTGGGACTATGGTGTTTGTGCCTTGAATAGCCCACAATATCCCTTAATGGTGTAATTAAAACTATAATACAGGTATTGCAAGAACTAGATATATCATTTACACAAGAGGGGAGGGCCATGGTATTTTATGTAAGGCCCAACGGGACGATAAGTAAATTTTATTCCCATTGCTTGGATGGGTCACTCCATTTCCAACCCCAAATTCAAAATCCCAGGCTTCATGAGTTCTATTTTTTTTTTTTTTTTAATAAAAATTAAATAATAACCTTATAGACAATAATGATTATAGTAATAATGAATATAAGATAACAAATATATGTACAAATTACTTATTTATCGATAAAAA